GCCCCTGCCAGCCCTGTTTCACTGCTCTCTGCTGAGGGCAGCTTTTTTACTTTTAATTACAGTCTAATGGAAAGGTAATGGGAAATAAAATTCATTATAAATCATTAGTTAGAAGTAGAATCCAATATTTTCTAGCCAGCTCCTTTTGGGTACCCAAATGATCATGGTCTGTGTTCAGTTGCTGGGATTTATATATCAGAGCAAAGAGGAAACAGTCACTTCGTTATGCTTTGGAGATGCTTTTGGATGTGCTTTTATGCCTACTTTGCAGCCGGATCACTGCAGCCAAAAGAAAATATCTGGTACCCCTGTGCAGCAGAGCTTTTTGAAGCTAACAGTGTTATTATCAAAGTCCTATTGTTTGTTTTTTTTTTAAAAAAAAGAAGATAAAAAAAATAGAGTTCATATCTTTCCTCCACTTGACCCAAGAGGAACCAAAGTTGTTTTGTTTTTTTTTCCTGTTTTTTTTTTTTTCTTTTTTCTCTTCCCCATAAATAAGGATGGAACAGGATAAAAAAGGAGCTATTGTTCAGACCTGATCAAAAGTGGGAGAGACACATCTCTGTCCAAAGGCAGTCTGTCCAGAGCCTCTGCTTCAGATGGGGTGAGCAGTGTTCAAAGTCCATGTAACTCCCCTCCATGCAGACAAGGCCACCCTTGCCCAGTATTGGGTTGGCCACCGCAAACCTTACCCTAACCACCACCACTAAAGTCAGTGTGCTAATGTCCTCTCCATACTCTCCAGGGGCTCAGAGCTAAAAGCAAAGACATCAGCAGCTGGAGGTTACTGAGGATTTTCCTTGCAAGTTGCTACCTGAGGCAGCGTGTATCCTGCAACCTCAGCCTTCAGCCTGAAAAGACACAGAAACCAAGTATACAACAAGGAGCAACTGCTGGGTGGAAACAATTTTCTTTAAGTGCAAGTAGTTGAAGCTGGTGGTGCTGATCACTGCTGGAAGAGAAACCTGCCTTCTTGCCGCAAGAACCTTCACACGTCCTTTGCCTCAGTGTCACTTTCTTTTAAAGTTGCAGGGCTATTTGCTCAGCTGCCAATTTTAACAGCATGCATGATTTCCAGAATGCATCATTCAGCCAAGAGAACAAGACAGATTTTTTTAGTATTGGCTTACGAGTAATAAAAAAGTAATGTATTTCTGGCTATTTGGATAGTGACGTGGCTAAAACAAACTCCTTTGTTTTCAGCAGCTGTTAACAATACCTGTAGGGAGCTGTTCCCAAGGTAGTTATCTCTGGCACTGGCGGCAGTAGGATGTAAACAGCATGGATCAAATTAATGGAAAACACTGAGCAGCCAAATCTGAAAGGAGCTGTGTTCAGCTGGGCCTCTCTTGCAGGGGTGACATTCTCACGTGTAGCAGCAGCAGCAGCAGCAATGGCTTTTGGAGGGCAGGTCTTCCAGGGGCAGCCAGCCATGGGTCTGCTGCAGAGCTGCTGGGGCAGCCTGCGTGGCCCTGCTGGGGCAGCCCGAGCTGGAGGCAGCGCGGGGCTGCGGGTGTGCAATTACAGCCATGGCACACGGGCTCGGGGTCAGCACCTCCAGCCCTCGGCTGCCTGGGGTCTGCTGAGGTCGGAGCCAACGTGTGGCTGGCTGCATCCATCCATGCAGACATACCCTCAGATGAGAAAGATACTGATGGGTTGGTTTGAATGACATAGTCCAGACTTGTACACTGTGGGAGGTGTGATGGGAACCCTTTCTGTCTTTCTTGATAATTTAATGAGCTGTTGTAATGAGGGATGCACTGAGCCCCTCATTTGTATGCAGTTCCCACATAAGATGTGAATATTAAATTCCTCTAAGTATGAATCAGCACCTCTTACTCCCACAGCTTTCACCTATCGCTCAATCTCCACAGCTCCAGATCCCCTCGTGGTCCCCTCGTCTCCCTCATTTCATTGTCACCTCAACAGCCACCAAAGCAGACAGACACATCCCTGGTCACAGTCAGAAGCTTCGGCCACTCGGCAGAACAAAGCTGGAGAAGAAGTCTCAGCTCTTTCTTGCAAACCAACTGCAACCGGGCTAGCCCCGTAGCCTGTTAGCAGTTGGGAAAATTGCATGACAAGGGAAATTAAACCTACAGGGCATCGCTGTCTGACAGCTGGTAGTTTAAATAATGAATTGGTAATTATAAACCCTTTTGAAATAAAAATGAAGTTTAAAAAAACATCAACTTTTGAGACACACCTTTTGATGGCAAAGGGCTTTCCCACGTAGATTCCAGCAGCAGCCATCACTCAGCACTGCAGACAGCAGGTGCCTGCCACTTCACACGCGGAGAGATGCACTCACCAAACGAGAAAAGTCAGGGGCTAAACAAGTTTGCAAATAGCAGCAATTCCAGTCCAAAAAATCATTTCCATAGCAGAGGGGAGAAGTGCTCCCTGAGGACAAGAAGGCTGGCTGGCTTTTGCTTTTTTTCTGGTGAATATATGTTCTTTTGTATGCAGTAAAGAAGGATAAAGAGTGGAAGAATGAGATGAAATGTAAAGATTCAGAATTGCACTGTAAAAGTCACTACCTGCTCCTGCCTAACAGGCTATTCTTTATTTCCAAAGTCCTGGGAGCTGTAAACCAGGATTTCTCAATAAAGTGTACTAAGCTAAAAGGCATGAAGATAGCGACAGATCCAGACTTGTTAGTGCCATAAACATTTGTCTTGGCCACAAAATATGTGTACACAACGTGCTGCATCTACCATCTAACACATTCCATGTTATACCCAAACCTGTGCAGAAAGTCCCGCCTCAGAAATGGTCAGAAACTGCAGTTAAATTGCATGGCTCAGTACAGCAACAAACCCAGCATTTTAAACACCAGGATTTCTGCTGTAAAGTCCTTCCTTTTGGGGCGTTCCCACAGTCACCTACACCCAGACTCCAGCTGCTTGAGATCGGCAGGACCAAAGCCAAGTGTATAAAATGAAGGAAAAAGCACAAACCTCATACCCACTAAATGGGAACTTTATTAAACTACTGAGTTACTCTGAAATGTATAAATGTTCCATTAAATACATTCAGTTTTCTTTTACACAGATATATAGAAATTTATTTACATATTCCAAACACATTTAAATTATTTTTCAAGCTTGCTACCAATAACATTTTTTGTTGTTTTTTTTCTTAAAAAAAGGAAAAAAAGTCAATTATCTGCTCTTGCAGATAAATACATACACACAGATACAAATAAGGAGGGAGATGCTTTTGTATCTAACCCACGAGGGAGGCAGTATCCAAAAAGCTTATAGGGTTTCAAGCAAAAAATTGCCCTTGCCAAAACGTGGACTATAGAAATTCTCCCTGTGGGACAGACCCAAACAAGAGGTCCTATGCAATACTTTATGGTGTTTGGGTATGATGTCTGCATTAAGATTTGCTGGTACGTGGGAAGAGCTAAAGGCTCCTTGCCAAATTCAGACACAAAGCTAGCTGTCCCTGACACTAGCCCATGAGAAGCATGTGAGCAATTAAATGGCTCGTTCTCATCGTATTACGCTCTCCCAACACTGCAGGATACAGCAGACAAACAGATCTATTATCACTAGTCGAGTCAATGCCACCTGTCCAAAGAGAGTTTGCTTTTAATTTTTTATCTTATACTTAAATGAGGCTTCATTCATAAGTGAATAAAAAGGCAGGTCTTTAAATAAGATGTTTAGGAGAACAGTGATCAGCTCCCCCACCTACATACATTTCTCTCAGGAAGATGCACAGCATGCTGAACAAGTTTTCCCTCATTCTCTGTACCTTAGTCTGACAGGAGTTAGAATTTATATCTGCAGGAAAAAAAGAGGTGTTTTTATTTTGTCAAAAGCTTATCAAATACTAGTTTAATTCATCCTTTAGAGTCTTTAAACAATAAAAAACACATGTGAAGCAACCAAGGAAGTCTACAAAAACATTGTCATGCGTAAGCTCTGTGTTTCATGCTAAATATTCACGTTGACAAGGAGAGCAAAAGGAGGAGTAGGAGGCAGGGAAACTAATGGCTCAACCAAAGCCATTGCAACATTCAAGTAATTTGGTAGTAGATAAACCAGTGGAAACATGGAATGGTAAAAAAGTGCTCAGCACTACATTGCAGCCTTCAAGAGCTAAACTGCAAATCTGTGATATGTATCATAAATATATGGCACTTCTGTATGACCAAAAGCTGGCAAGTTTGCTTGTGACTTAAACAACTCAGGAACAGTCATCCCAATGGTTACTGATGGCCCTTCTAAACAGGCACAGCGTCCAGCTGTGCTACCTGATGCAGCACTGGCCTTATCTACTTGTGCATGCAAGACAATGCTGCCACATTCTTGGAGAATAAGCTTCCTGCCCAGCAGAAAGCCTTTACCAGACACATGTACACATTCATAAAACATGCTATAAATTCTTCAGTGAGGTTAAAGACAGCCACAAACAGCAAATGTCATTTTACTATTTTTTTGGCCAGTAGTTCCTAGTCTGTCCAATTGCCAGCAATGGACTTTGCAACAGGCAAAAAAGTTCCTGAATCCAAAGAATTGACAGCAACGGAGAGCACAATCACCTAAGTTTGTTTTCAGTACTGTTCCACAGGATTCACTTTGACATCAAATAAGGAACCAACCAGCACAAAGGCTTGAGTCTTAGGAATAATCTTATGTACACAAAAACTGGCCTTTATCCACATTTTCTGTCACAAAGGATTCCATCTTGTAGTTTAACTTCTTAAAGCTATTGGGCTTTTGGTGACCTTTTATATCACAACTACACCAAGATTTGCTGTTATGCTTGCATTCCATCACAGTAGCTTCAAATACATTCAAATTCATAAAAAAGGATTTAGACCAGAAGACAACTACTTGCCCTTTTCCAACAGTGTGCTGTACTTTAACGAGCACATGATGTTGCCTATTGGCAATGTTACTGTTTTAAGGAATTTCACTACACAGACATCCAGTGCTTGAACAAGTGTTCACATTCCAAGATTCAAAAATAACCCCTCTCCCTTATTTCAGCAACGGCTTCAGTATTTTACCAATCGTGGTCCGGTTTGCATCTTTCAGTTTGAGAGAGGCCTTTTCCACTGTTCCCTGCTCCTTTGGTGCAGACTCTACTCTAGCGTTGACAGATTCTCCCTGCAGGATGCTTCTTCCAACCACTCTGGCACTACTTGCTCTCTTTAAGGTACTCACACTGTTCTCCTTTGGACTCGGATCATCAGAGGTCACTGCTGTCTTCACTTTAGGCAGCCTCTGGGATACAGACCTTGTGATGGTTGGAGGTTTGGATGAGCTGGATAGATCCACTTTTGCACGCTTTGAAGAAGAAGCCACTGTATTCCTTGCAAAGTTTGGGACAGCAGATGGTGTCTTGGGAACACTAACTGTGGCAACCTTGGTATCATCTGTGGGGGTCTGGGGCTTTACACTGGAGCGACACATCTTTGCTTCATCTGTCTTTGATTTGACGTTACTCCTAACAGGTTTTGAACTTGGCTTCTTGAGAGAGACTCTGTCCCTCTCAAAATGAGCACTGCTTGAGGTCACAGTGCCCCTCTGTAACTTTGGCTCTTCAACTGACATGCTGTGCCTGTAAGGAGTTCTCGGCAGCGTGTCTGTTGTGCCTCGGACAGAGCTGCGGCGAGACAACCGACTTTCCACTGCACTGGTTTCCCGAGGTGCCGGCTTGGCTTCTGGCTTTTTGATGCTGCTGGGTGCTCTGTTTGACCGAGAAATAGGCACCACTTTCCTCATACTTTCATTCTCAGAGGCATTCAAAGTTCTCACTGTTCTGGAAGGAGCTGTGTGGCTAGGGCGAGTGCTACTGGGTTTTGAAGAGCTTGGAGATCTATCTTTTAGAGAGTTTCTCTTTGGTCCTGCTGCGTCTTTAGTTTTTACAGGCTTTTCTTTTGGTAGGGTCTGCTTGCTGTTGGCATCATCCTTATCATTTGTAGAGGTGTGAAGAGACAGATCGTTAGCAGAAGCAGAATTCAGGTTTGAGAAGAATGTTCTAGCCCTATACTGAGCATCACTCCCAGAAGAGTGTGCTTTACCAGTCTCACTTCTTACTTCATTGCCTGCTGATTTAAAATCATTTCCCTCTTCAGAGTCCAATGTCAAAGAACAATCAGTTGTCGTATCTGACATGTAGAACACTGGCCCATCTTCCCGACTTCCTGAGACACTTGTGTCCATAGACATGGCACTGTTGCTGTTGGGCTCTGAAGCTTCACTCTTGCAACCCACTGTCTTGGCTTTGTGGTCAAGGGCCTCTCTGGAACTTCTGCAAGGTGGAGGCAGGTCGTCATCGGCAGCACTAAGGGAATGAAAGCTTAGATCATCTAGAGTCTCCACGTCAGTTCCACCAGCATCCTCTAAATATATTAAAGGTGTATCCTCTGCAGGCTTTGCTCCTTGAATATCAAACTTACGTAATCCTTTAACAAGCTCACGCTCCTCAATTGCAAGGGCCAGAGCATTTATATCTGTGGACTCCTCGCAGGACACATTGGAAGTATGCATGCTGCAGTCAGTGCTTCTCTGTGAGTAACGGGCCCCAGGACCAGCTGAGCCACTGAAGCGACTGGGCTCAGCTGGAGGCACCTGCAGTGGGCCATCACTTTTCACTTTGGTTTCAGACTGCTGGTGTAAGTGCAAGGTATTTAAGTTGAGATCTTTCGTTTCTTTGGATTCAGTCCAGGTTACGTTTGGTCTTGCTTGTCGGGTGTTTGCACGGGGAAGGCTGTTAAACTTGTTTGGATCCTCATCTTTTGCGATTTCCAGGAAACTCTGCAACTCCCTATCTGCAGTAATCCCCAAAGAAAGTCGAGAGCGTCTAGAACTGGTGTTTCTGTACAAAGGGCTTTGAGGTCTCTGCTGCAAGAAGGGAAGAAATTCTTCAAGTCCTTTTTTGGCCAACATCTCTACATCGTTTTCACTGCTGCTCCGCCCAAAGCTCCCAAGCTCTCCAGCTGCCCAGGATCGACGCTTCTCCTCCAGCTCCTTTCGCCTTTGCAGACTATTAAGTTCCTGGATCTCTCGTTCTCTATTTTCCTGATGAGGAAAAGCATAAATACATGTCTCAGAGGACAGTGTCTTATGCATGAGATCAAGTCACACTCCTTTATATTTCTCTTTATTTCTTCCTGTCAAAATTAGGTCCTACTGCTATTCTCTTCCCCAACCCCCAATATATACAAACACACACAGAAATCACCATGATGACCACAGCCTGCAACCATTAACCCCATTGAGAACAGTTCCCTGCATTACTAATGCTGGCAACACATCAGTCTGGTCAGCATAACAAAAAAATGCATAAGTCGCTGCAGAGAGTAAGAACACGACCTATCAAACTCAAGTGAAGTGTTAAGTCCAGTCAAAAAGTTCCTGCTCTAAGATGGAGAGCAGTTTTCAAGTCGGCAGTTTTGTCAGGTGAGTAAATCTTTATCTGAGCATTGCATTCATATTTTAAGACAAACTCGTCTGACAAGCACACAGCCAATATGTTTCTTCCATCCTCCCGTGTTACAATTGCAATTGTTCCTCAACAGGAGCAGTTTCTACAGGGTGGTACTTAACTCTGACTTGAGCATTACCAATTGGAAATGTTGTGAAAAGGCATTACTTAATTGCATATGAAAGCAAACAGAAAAGTATACACAATGCTTCACAATCATTACTTAGACATCAACTGACACCACTCAGGGACCATAAATCAATGCCACATTCCAGTTTTGGATCTTGTATTCACTGTTGTCTTCAAAAACTGGCAAATATTGAGCAAAAGTTGCCCAGGGAAGGCTGGATATTTTGGCAGCTAGCCAAAACTGGTTCAGGAAGCCACAGAAAGAGGTAGTTTGTGTTTGAAAGACAAAAGAGTAACACACTTTTACTAAAATCATTAGCAGTGGATTACTGCAAATATCAACATTTTAACCATCAACTCTAGGCTTCAGATTTAATCTACCTGAACCTCCCTTTGAACTTTTCAGGTTATTCTTAAAATGGAAAACCTGGCTTTCTAGAGCCAGTACAGCTGTAGCAAAATAAAGGAGGGTAGTCTTGACAGAGGATTCAAAAATTACATAATTTTTGTTATATCTGTTCTGAGCAATGACACTGTTTAAAAAAACCACACCTACATTTTTCTGAAGCACTGTCTAGCTTGATCTTCCTATTGTTGTGGCAACAGAAGAGCTGCACAACTAAAAAAAGTCACCTGAAAGCTTTCAGTAAACAAAAGCCTAATGCTGAAGCTCTTTTTGATTACTGGGTTAATCTACACCTCTTAAAGTGGATTTGCGAATATAAGGGGCTCTGAAAGATAAGATGCATTAGAGACTTAAGAAACCTGAATAGCTAAGGAAGGAAAAAAACACCTTGTATTTGAGGAAAAATGTCTATGGCAGGGAGCTTTCTTTCAAGATCGGAATTACAGAATGAAATACTAAAGCTAAACCTTAAATATCCCATTGTAAAGAGGAAATTGTTAAAATAGCTGTAGATGTTATTATCAGATTCTGTATGAGACACTCAACACTTAACCTCACCCAAAACATATTTCAGGAGACTTTACTCAAATGAAAAATCTATTTTAAGCACACACAGACATGTTAAAAAATTGCAAAAAATGTTTAAACGTTTGAAATATGTGCAGACGGCCATTGTGGTATGAGCCATCTTTTAGACTGCTTGGCTGTACTGTTCACACATTACATTCATTTGGCAGAACTGCAATCTTTATTCGGATTTGTTCTGTTAATTTTGTAGGGACAGAGATTACTCCCCACAAAATACATGCTACCTTAGGCAGTAAAGGGTAGGTAAACTAACGGTACAACAGCCATGTTAGCTGAACATCCTGTTAGCTTACTATAAATCAAGAGTGTTCTTTTTTCTGAACTAAAGCTCTTATACAAAGTGCTGTCAAATGTTGATTGCATAAGGTAGAAATATCTATATAAGAGCTTTAGTTCAGGCAGACTTTGCTGAACCAAAACCGTAACAAATGTTGATACTGTGCTTCCATCTTAGTGTACTTCTTGAATTATCTGGGACCAACTTAGGGTACTTAGCAAATGAACGGTGATGCTGGGAACAAGGTATCTTTGTTTTGCAGGCTTGTTTAATTTCTTGAGTTTCCACCCACAAAAAAAGCATTTGAAAGAACAAAGTGGAAGGCACAGACCTTACTTTACTTGACAGTGTGTCTGACCAAGTACAGGAGGGCAGTGTAGAGCCTGGGCTAGTGCTGATTCAGGCTGGTATGTCCATGTAACGTGGTGACGTATCTCAAGGCCCTTCCAGTGACCTGTCATTTCTAGTTCAGGGCCTGAACAGTGTGGAAGTCTGCACTATCTGTTTCTCTGCTCAGCTTAGCACTCACCACCTTCCTCACCAAAGGAGAAGGAAGGAGCCCACTTACCAGCAGGCCAGTACCCTAATGTGTCACCTCAATGGTCTAGTCAGCCTGCAGCAAAAGATGTAGAGCAAAAGTGGGACTGCACACAGGGCTGGACGGAATGACAATTTTCCACCTGGCTTCTGGCAAGAAATGCCTACAAGAAGGCAGTTTGCTGTACCAACATGTGAGCCAACATCTACTTAATGCATAAGAATATAATTCGGTGCTCTTACCTTAACAGCCTTGTTGAATCTTATACAGAAGTCCCTAAATATCTGGAAACATTCATCCAACTTCATAGTTTCTTTGTCTTCACAGAAAAAGTCAATGAGAGCATTTCCCTCCTTTTGTAATTCTTGTTTCTGGTGTTCAAGCTCCTTCAGATGTCTTATAGCAAACTGCAGCAAAAAAAACCACATATGGCATGAACCAGACAGAAAAATTGAAGTCACAACAGGTTGTGTATATATTAAGAACTTAAGAAATTAATGTTCCAACTTCGGAGCTGTTACAGAGCCCAGGACAGTGAAAGGCCCCTTTGAAGGCTCTTGAAAGTTCCACATGCCTTATTTTCCTATTTTCCCCTACCACTTTCAACTAAGCATAAATGGATTCACTCCACCTCCCTACTTTTCCCCAAAAATAAATTGATGAATATACATCACAGAGTCAGCTCCTTGCTAAGTCAACCCTAGGTCATGATAAAAAAGGTTTTCATGCCAGAAAGGTAAGGAATTGCTGGAGAGATACTTATTTCAAGGCATCCAGAAAACATCACCATAAAGTAGCACTTTGAATCCTAAGTATAGACCTATACAGAGTTGGGGCAGATTAGTGGATTCCTCAAGAGGAAAAGAATAAGGCTGTAATTAAGACTTTGAGCAGCAGAACTGCTTAAGAAACTTTCAGCAGTTGCCCCTCTGCCTCCCCATCTGCATCACCAGCCATTCACTCCCTGAAAAGCTGAACTGAAGATAAATTGGACAACTGATAAAAGCATACATAGAAAATTAGTTCCTCCCACATATTTCAGTAACTTATTCATGAGGGTGAGATAATGAATGGTGACTTTTAAATCAGCTTAGTTATCAGCTGCAATTTAGAAACAAAAACCGGAAGTATTTATGTAAGGTATGCATTTGTAAAATGATTTTTCTCCCAACATTTCTTTTGGAATGTGGCCTATACAAGGTTGTAGTGTTACATAAAACCAGGCATTAAATAAATAATTTTAAAAAAACAACCCCGAACATGTTAGAACACAACATTAAGGAGTCTGGGTGCAATGGATAAAAGCCAATTAATTCAGAGTGAATCAGGACAGGTATTGCAATCTTAACCCGCCCCTTTCTGCATCAACTTCTCATGTCCTGAAAAAAGTCCAGGGACTATTAACTATTTGCAAGTTGAAAATCCAGGCAGATTAAGTTCCAGATCATCACCTGCTTTCTTACTTCTAATAATTATCTATAGCGTGAAACAGAAAAATAATTTAATTGAAGTATAATACACATTTCAGAGTCATAGAATCGTTCTGGTTGGAAAAGACCTTTAAGATCATTGAGTCCAATCACATTTCTCCAGGCATCACCAAGTACTCAGAAAATACCAAGAACTTTTTCAAAGTTAAGTGCTGTGCACATTCATCTCTACAAAGTCACTTAAGGACTAAAAAAGAAATGGAGAACCCACCCAGAAGTAATGGTATAGCTCAGAATAACACACTGTGTACTGAGGGCAAATTAGTAGAGAAAACAGTCCCTTAACCTTCCAGCTTCTAACAATGAATTTTCAGTCACCCAACAATCAGGATTCCTAGGCCTCAGCTAAAACTGACATGCTCCAGTATAACATAACATGCATATACTACATTTTGGGCAGCTGTGAAGTACAAATCGAAAGACCAATCCAAAGTGTCTTATATTTTAACTACTGATCTTCATCAGTCACTTCACAGGCATTACACATGCTTGCCCAACAAGCCTCAGGCAATGTACACTCAATATCCCTCCTTGTAAAAACACAGTACTTCCAACACACATTTACTTGACAAACAGCATGTAGTTGGAACACCTTTGTACAACTGATAGGGCAGACATATTAAAACAATGCTTCTGTTTATTAACACGTTCACACAAATTACATGGAGCTGAGGAATGCTCCTATATTCAGGTGACAGTAATACAGATCTCCTACAAACCTTGAGAAAGCCTTCCATCTGGTGAAAGAGTTTTGGGTCTCGCCGAATGCTGTCTTTAACAGATCTTGCCTTGAAAGACAGCGAGTGGAGCTCTGCTTCTAAATTATCAGTGGATAACCTAAGAATAGCAGATACAAAACATGTCTATCAAGAGGCAAAGAGCTGCCCACAGGTTAGCCACACTGTGCTCCAAAAATAGATTTTTAACATGAGGTGCAACCTGGCTATCAAACAAGACCTGCCTGTTCAGGAAATCTTTCCAGAATAGACACTGAAAGTTAGAAGAGAGATAAGTACATTTCTTCTTATTTGCAACCTAAAATGTCCTACCCAACCTTACCATGAGAAAGGGTAATTAATGCTGCCCTGCCTCTGACCAGGTGTTTCTTTTCTCTCCCTGTTGCCTGTGATAGGGCTCATTTTCTAGATAGCCAGCCATATCTGTGTACTGAACATTAACCTAGGAAAAGGAAAAAAAAAATTCACTTCCAGATGGATCATTTGCTTGGTACAGCTGATTGCATGACTGTTGGAGCACAGTAGCTGGCACAAAAAGGGGGTCACAAGGGACTGTCAGTCAGGACTGCCCATTTTGGCAGTAGCACTTGGCATAATGAAATGGCATGTTACCTTTTTCTACACAGGCTCAGCAATGCAGCCAACACAGTCTCAATCCAGCAGCTATAACATTTCATCCTTCTACTACATACCAACAGCAGAGCTGCTCCTGTGGAGAGGTAACTTGGAAATGGGAGACTACAGGGAAGAGATCTGATCTGATACAATCTAAGCTTTATCCTGAGATACCCCTGTTCCAAACAACAGGAGCTCCCATGCAAATCTCTCAGTTACTTTGAGGGTAAATGCTTCTAAATCTAAGACACTTCCTTCACAAGACAACTGAGCTTTGCCTAGGAACTAAAACACTACAGTTTCCAAAGTGAGAGCAATTAGTAAGTGTACACATGCTGCCAATTAAGGCCATTTCACCAGCAGTATGTCTAAAGCTGAAGAATTTGTGGCAGACTGAAATGAACACAGAAGTGGATGGTGACAGCATGTGTAAGTTTGTCAGAGCACACGCAAATGAATATAATGGTTTCTCTCTGCTTACTTCATCTGCAAAGGTTAGCTCCCTGTTTTGGGCAGATCATGGGTGCTTTTGCAAGTAAGAAAAGCAGTAGCAGGATTTATTTTTCTGCCTGTGAAGGAGGATGAGAATGGCCTACAAGTAAAGGAGGTAAGACATTTAAAATATTGTTTTAACAAGCAAGTTGTTTTAACATGCTCTAATTGAGAGAATTTATGCACAACTTGCACATGACAGTTGTCTCTAATAAAGATCTTCCTCATGCCCAATGTATTTCATCTTGTTTCATTTTCCTGTACAGAGTGCATTCCCTAAATAGATTTCAGCATGAGTTACAACAGAAGATTTTCAGCATTAACAAATGTGATCAAAGAACAAAGCAGTTAGAAAAAATATCACCAGATTTGGGATTCTGCCTGTTCCCCTGCTGTTTGCCAGGGGGCTTGGATGCCGAGGGAAGCTGCATTCCTCAGCAGGCCACATGGCAAACTGCCAAAAAGGTGTGTGGGTTGGATGGCAAAGAGCCACACAGGTGGTCCCTCAAAAACTTTCTGATTAACTTCTTGGCCACTCCTTTCCTCAGAAGATTTCAGAGTCCTTTTCAGACATTACTTAACCCTGCATCAGATCTAAGAGATTGGATCCATTTTACAGCTGGGAAAAGAATGTAAATTGATTGCCCAAAGCTCAAGAGTAAGGAAGTAGCAAAACTGGGAATAGAACTCCAGCACTGCTAGCTTCCAGTTTTGGGTTTTAGATCACACTGTCTCACAAAAGCAAGTACAGTTATCAAGGTACAAATCAGGCTCAGTTTAAAATTATGCAGATAAAGACTTTACGACAGAGCCCCAAACCCTTCAGAAACGAAGAAGCAAATGAAATATTAAAAAGCATCAAAGAGAAGCCAGGCCCAGTATCTGTACCTGGTACCAGATTTACAAAAGTACTGTAGCATGCTCAGAGACAGATGAAAATTGATCTAAGGAAAAACATTAACATGCTCTTAGTTCAATCCCTTAGAAGTAACATACATACATGCACACGTGTCTGACAGAGACAAAACTATGAAAAACCTATTGAGATCATGTAATAAAAAAACTCACACCTGAAGGCACATTGCAAGCATACTTCTACTAGCAAATGGATATAAAGCCCTCAAAGCTACACCATACATTTGTAGAGATCTCAGTTTTTGTGCCAAGACTTCTCTGAGTAACTTCATTGCTTCACAAATGGGAAAATTCCAAGTCACAGTCTAATCGTAAATCCTCAGCATTCTTTTTACTTACCTGGCAGCATCATAAACATTCCTAATTTTTTCTGAGAAGTTGAGAAGAGCAGCATCTTTCTTTTGGGCTTCCTAAAACAAACAGAACAAAACCAAAACACACACAATCCATTAACATTCCACCACCATGCCAAAGTCCGTAAGTCCAGCAGTTCTAAAACCTCTGGGAGGGCACTTAAAAGGTTTCTCCCGCACTGTTTTTCTTCCTATTCAATCCTAACACAATTGAGCAGTGGACACCCCTTAAAAAAAAGGCAGGGATCTGAAAACTTTAAACAGCAGCTTCCATTTTGCAGTGTACAATAATAGCTGCTTCTGCCAGAGAAGACAAACCACATGTATTAAAAGTGAATGTCAGGGAAAGAACAATTTACTGATGCCCATTGTTTGAGCAGATCCGATGTTTCCTGCACAAACACCAATTAACACCCTATTGTTAACTAACTGGCAATCTGTTAAGCCAGTTTGTACACAGATAACCCAAGTCACATACAGAAGCATTTAAATTCTTTCCCTTCTAAAATCAAGAAGCTTGAAAGGATGGAAAAATAACTTGAAAAAAAGTCAGCAGCACCTTTAAAAATACATGTGCTCTGGTTTGGTTTGGTGGGTTTTTTGGTAGCAGGGGAAGGGCCCCAGGAGTGTCTCTGGTAAGAAGCTGAGAAGCTGCCCCTGCCCCAAACCCAGCCAAGGAGCCATTACAGGGACAACAGATGCGATTAACATCCAAAAGAACAGCTGTA